GGGGAACACCGTCAGGAGCGCGGCGCGGTGCAGGTCGCCCGAGAGGCATGGGGGCCCGGATGGAGGCCGGGGGCGCGGTGGGGAGAGGGCGCGGACGTACTCGGCTTGCGGTCGCTGCGGCGGCCGTCCTTCCGGACGGGCGAGGCGGGACCATCTGCCCACACATGGCAAGGGTCAGTGGACCTGAGGCAGGGGGCAATTTGGGGCGAGTGGCCGGACATACTGGGGGTCAGGGGAGCCACGGGCTCGGCCTGGGCCTTCGCCTGGGAGAGCTTGCGCGCGGCCGAGCGGGCGGCCTCCAGCTTGGGGCAGGATTCTGACCGGCAGCAGCGGCAGACGAGGAAAGCCGCGGCCACGGCCATCAGGAGCAGCCACAAATGCAGCAGCGCCATCCAAGTGGCACCGGCGCGGCAGGGACAACCGACGAAGGTCAGGACATGCGTGCCGTGGGCGGCCAAGCGCATGCGGCGCTGCGCGGGGCATGTCAGATCCCCCGGGCGGACGCACCTAGATGCGCGGTCACCGACCGGTCGGAAAGGACACGCGCGCAGCCGGGGCACGAGAAGACCGCATGAACGGAGGACTGCCCGCCGGGGGTGGAGCCAGCCGGCATGGCCCCGGCATCGGCCGCGGATTCCGGGCAGAAGATCCCCATGTACCGGGCGGAGTGGCCGGCGCGGGGCAGCCCACCCCCAGCGGCCGAGTCCAATTCGCGAATGTAATCCACCGCCTGGCCACGGGGGAGGGTCCGGCCGGGGTCGGTGTCCGGCAGTGCGTCCTCCCCGTCGGCCGTGCGGGCCCCCGGCGGCAGGGTGTTCGCGGCGTCGGGGTTCCTTGTCCCGGTGGCGAGGCTCTGTGCGGGGGAAGTTAAGTCTACACCAGGGTCATGGAGAGGCGGGCGAGGGGCGGCGGTGGCCATGGCAGGCGGCGGGAGGGGCGGCGGGGAGCGGCGGGAGCCGCGGCTGCACACAGCAAGGATATTGTCACTGTCCGCGCCGGAGACCGGCAGGTGCTTGATCATGGCCGAGCGGAGTTTCAAAATCTCGGATGTAGCGGATTTCGAGACTCGGTCAGCTGGGATCCAGCCGGGCGGTCGTCAGAAAGGGGCCAAGCACTCGGCGGGGCACGGCGGCGGGACGGCAGCCCGGGGGAGGACCGACAACGCACCGTACTTGTCAAACAGGAGGGACGCCTCTTCGGACCAGGACCCTGCCGGCTGAGCGGACCCGGTGGCCGCGTCGAGCTGGCCGCCGGCGACCCCGGGCGAGTCGGCCGGAACAAGGACACGCTCAGCCCAATCAGCCGGGTCCAGGGTTTGAATGAGCTGCCGAGAGGGGGGGCGGGGCGGGGCGGGAGAGGGGGGGCGGAATGGCAGAATACCCATCAGGCCCCCGAGGAGGATGGCACTCGCGGAAATACTCCACTCCGCCGCCCCCCCCCCCCCAGAGCCGGGCAGACGAGTCA